ACCCCGTCCCGTGGGAAGAAGAGGGAACACCCTGCGTGGGATCGGTCCCCAGTCTAGTAAAGCAGACCCCTGGGTGGGCGCGAAGAGAAACAGGAGGTGAAGCCAGATGCCAAGGTGTCTGGAGGTGAAATACTTGGGAGGAGGGCTCTTTAAGAAAATTAATACAAAGTTGCAAGTACAAAACTAGATACAAACGTGAATGTTTATTAGCATGAGCAAGGAAATCACAATTCAGGTGTTACAAAGCTCACAAAGCTTGCAAACACCACAAAACCTAGAAAAGCATCAATGTTTCTATTTCTTAACCGCCTGACCATTTGCGTAATACCGTTTTTCTGTATTTTGTACTATTTTCTCACCTCTTAACATGACGATACTTTTGTCCTTGTGTTATTTTTCTATAAAGAGACTGGAAAGGGAACGGAATCTCGCTCTGTCGTGCGTAATTGGAGATTTGTGTATTCTTGGTGAGTTAGGACAATTTCTTTCACGATTTTGACTATCGGAGTCTTGGTTTCGATGGTGACATAAGAAGAGGGGTTTTGAAATTTCGAAGATTCTGCCCGCCTCCTTCCCTTCGATTACTCTGAAAATAGATGCAGAAGAGGTGTGATATTTAAGCAACGCAAAAAGCAATTCAAGTAAATTTCCTTCTTTATGATTCTTTTATTGAGGTAAAGTATACACAATGGAAAGTCTACCACTTTAACCGTTTTCAGGCACACAATCAGTGGTGTTAAATCCATTCCCACGGTTGTGCAACCATCACCCCAATCATCTCCAGAACCCTTTTCTTCTTGTAAAACTGACATTCTGTCCCCATTAAACGCTGACTTGCCTTCCCCCTCCCACACCTCTGGCACCCACCGTTCTCCTTTCTGTCCCTATGAATTTTATCGCTTTAGACATCTCCCGTAAGTGGAAACACACAGTATTTGCCCTTTTGTGTCTGGCCGATTTCACTCAGCGTGACGTCTTCAAGGTTCATCGTGGTGGAGCGTGTGTCAGAGTTTCCTTCCTTTTTAAGGCTGAATGATATTCCATGGTGTGGATAGAGCACCTTTGGCTTATCCATCCATCCGTTGCTCCCACGTTTTAGCTGCTGTGAATAACTCTGCTATCATCGTGGTGCACAAATATCTCTTTCAAACTCTGCTTTCGATCCTTCTGGGGATACACCCAGAGGCGGAATGCTGGATCATGTGATGATTCTGTCTAATCTTCTGAGGACCCTCCATACTGTTTTCCACAGCGGCTGCCCCCTTTTACCTTCCCACCAACATGGGTTCCAGTCTCTCCACGTCCTTGTCGACACTTGTTAATTTGGTTTTTGGGAGTAGCCGTCCTAATGGGTAAGAGACAGATTCTCACTGTGATTTTCATTTGCGTTTTCCTGATGATTCGAATGCCTTTCTCGACTTGCTGCTACGTCGTACTGAGATGCAGAGATCTGGAACCGAGTTACTCTTCTGCACAGCACGGGAGGCTGTTGACAACTGTGTGTGTAGCTGCTCTGTCCTCGTGTCTTCAGCCCATCGTGCCGTCCTGGGGCACTTTCCTCTTCCCCATCGTCTGGAACCGCCAGATTTTGTCAGCATCTCACACTCTAAGAAGTGATGTGGTACCTTGAGATGCATAGAACGTGTTCTCTTCGCACAGAGATGTTCTGACTATCTGTATGCCGCGCTTTGCACGCCCAGGAATCTTGCTAAGTTTTACTTTGCCATGATTCCCACCAAAAAATGGACAAAATGTATATATGGTAGTATGGACTATTTGTAATCATACACCTGCATTATCAGGTAAATTCCCAAAAGGTGAGACCTTTCATTTTGACTAGATTTGCTAAGAACTGGATCCCCCTCTCATGTGACACACACGACGGCTGGGTGAATTTCCCACAGAGGAGCTTCTGGCTCCGTGAACGTCAGACCTCATTTCTCCTGTCCAAGCTCACACCAGAGGCCATAAGATGGGCTCGCCCCACAGCACGACCTCAGCCCCACCCTCCTAGGAGATGACGCCAAGGGGTCACCCCAGTGGGCACAGGTGTGTCCCTGGAAGCCAACCTGTGCCTGGGGCCAGCGACAACTTGACCCTCTAGTGGAGTGACCGGAAACACACCAACACGTCTCACCAAACCCCTCATCCCTCACCGGGGCCCCAGCGATGCCAGCAGCCTCTCCAGCTGTTCCCCAAAGCGAGCACAGATCAGAGAGGGAAGGGACCAGAGCTTTTCCTATTGCCTTGAAGTATGTCACTCCTGCAAATGTAAAGAAGGATGCCCTGCTGGCTGTGTGAGCACATCGCGGGCCCTCCCGGTGGGGCCCCGGGGCTCGAGCTATCTGAGAACCTGCCTTGTGAGCAGGACCTCCACCCTCTGGGGGGGTTCAGGCTGCTTGAATTCCAGGGTCCCTTCTGGCAAACCAAGTCTGTGCTGCCAAGAGGCCAGGAGATCCCCAAGTGGCTGCAGGTCCTATGCCAGACCACCTGAGGGGTCAGCCAAGGTGGGGAGAAACATGTGCCCCCCCCAACGCCCACTCAACCTGGTGCCAAAAACTGGGATCACCCACAGACTGTGGAGCTGCCCAAAAAGGCTTTGCCAGTCTCGGCTCAGAGGCCCTCTTGCCCTCGGCCATCTCAAGGCCTTTAGCAGCTCGAGCCAGAAAGGCTGCTGTGGGGACCATTCAGACTTTTCCATGGCAACCCATCGCCTCGTGGAAGTCCCGGCCCTTCATGACCGGAGCCCAGCCACTCACCCCGTCACCTGTCTGGCCTCACCCCGCACGCCTCCGCCTCACTTCCTCAAACTCCCAGCCCACCAGCTCGGAGGAGATGGGGACCCGAGCCGCGCTGTCCGCCCCCACCGTTTCCCAGAGGAAACTCCTTCCCTCCCACTCCCTGAAATTGTCGGAAACACGATAAAGCCGTCAAACCCGCTTTATATCAGCCCTGTAAATTACAAAACTCAGGTCAGGGTTCCCATCGCTCCTGGGCAGTGTGAAAACAGCCGATTCTTCGTGAGAGAGAAACAGAAAGGAAAGGAAAGTGGGTGAAACTCAGCCGACAATGACCCCCCAGTGATCCTGGCTCAATCCCCCATGTCTTCACTTCCTGTCCCCAAAAATACTCCAAGTTTCCCCACAAGGTCCAGCCCGGCCCAGGAACTGACTGCAGAACAGCTGAAGGTTTCTTTATCATCAATAATTAATCGGGGTACATCTGGGGTCAACACAGATTCAGAGAATGATACCATTTTCGGTTAGAATCCGGCACACGGTTCGAAATTTGAGAAAATAAGTGGTGGACTGTGGCCACCAACATTGACCCTGCGAGGGCAAAAAGTTCAAGGCAGATCACGGCACTAGACAGATTTTTCTTTCAAGTTTCTGACGGCTGGAATACGACTTTCTCGAAAAAGGACCCTCCTTCCTCGCATCCCTGAGCCTCATCATCCCAGGAACCAAAATCCAGTTATCGAGAAGAGTCGCCCGCAACCCACGGAACTTCCCATGACAGAAGAAGCTCTGGAAACGATCAGAAAACATTAAAGAAGCAAAATGCATTTGGCACGGCCGCAATTTCGGAGCAAGCATCCACTTTGTCGTGGGCCGTTGGAGATAAAGCATCTGCTCATTCAATTAGGCCGAGGAAAATGGAAAATAGCTGAAATTCATAGTTGAAAATATTTCATTTCTTAGCGAACACTGTTTACTGTTAAAAGGGGGAAATGGCCTGCTTTGTCCGTGAATAAAGGCAATTTGGGGAGATCCTGGATACCGGAGGGAAAGATAAAAGGGAGGCCATGCTTCGTCGGATGAGTTCACCAGCTGATTCCTGCAGAAATGCAGAGATTCGAAATGAAATCAGGGAACTAACAAAGATTGAAATGTTGCAGGACACGGTGAATGACATGACGCGTCCCCGGCTTCGGCGGTAATCCGTAATGAGCCTTCAGATAATGCAATCGGAGACCAGCTGTCCGTCTGGGTGGGAGAGACCCACGGAAGATGTCTGTCTGCCTAGCCGAACCCCCACTCCCTCAGGTCTCCTTAATGCTGCAGAGACGACGGGACCTGCTTGCTAAGGGTTTAAAGAAAAAGTACCTGCAGCAAACTAGGAGCCACATGGCTTGAAGTTTGAGATCTCAGTGGGGCAAAGGGAGCTCTCAGACTGATAACCGAGCTGCAAAACAGAATGAACAGTGGTAGCGTTTTCCTAAAGTTTAAAAGACGCAAGCTGAGAGCTTCGGCTGTGCTCTGTTGACACCTACGTCTCCCGGGTGTATCTGTGATGGAGTCTCTTGAAGAAATGGGAAGGACCCCAAAATGCGTTATATAATGACATGTGTCTCTGTGCACAGCTGGGCCACTTGCCCCAGCACAGTGAGGGGAGCAAAGACTCACACTGCAGGCTGCCTGGAGGTTTATCAGAAACTCTTTGAACCGTGCATCAGGATGCAGGAGAAACCCAGGCTCCCCCATGATGGAGAAGGAAGGGCATTGGCCAGGCTTGGCAGCGGTGGCGGAGCGGAGGGAGAAGGAAATAGAAGCAGAGTGGCAGCAAGGGTCCTGCGTCCTGGGGGGAGCTATGAGACGGATGAGGAGCATGGCGCAGTCAAGCCCAGTGTCATCAGACCACCCAGGGCCTGCCCTGCTGAAGGGGTGACCACACTTTGGGAAAAGTTCACACACGTTCCTGGCATCCAGAAGAGCTTGGCCCCGTGAGCCTCGTGGATTCTGGAATTCAAGCTGCTGTCACATCCTCTCCATCTGGTCAGGGTTTCCTGGGCATGTCCCCACCCCAAGGGTCACCCTCCCTCTGCCACCCACTACAGATTACCCGCAGGTTCAGTCAACAGCTCAGCTCTGGTGGAACCACTCCCCGAGCCCGTGTGGCATGATGTGGCCCTTTTCTTGTTCAGGCACAGAGCAAGAGTTCTTTCGGGTTTAACTGTATATTCTGCAATAATTTCAAACTCACAGGAAAGTTGTGTCAGTGATATAAATAACGCCCGTCGACCCTCCCCCGAGATTGACCAACCGTCAACGTTCGTTCTGCCAATTTGATTTCTCTCCATCTCGATTGTCTTTATATACCGTACATCCTTCTTTCCTGACCTGTATGTAGTAAGAGGCAGATGATGTGCCCTTCCACCCCTGTCTCGGTCTGCTTGGGCTGCCATCATAAAATATCGTAGTCAGGGTGGCTTAAATGACACGAATTTATTCCTCACAGTTCTGGAGTCTGAAAGTCCAGGATCAGGGCACCGGGCGATTGGGTTTTTGGTGAGAACCTGCCTCCCGGCTGGCAGACAGCCGCCTTACTGCTGTGTCCTCACACGACCCAGAGAGCGAGCTCTGGTGTCTCTCCGTCATTTCTTATAAGGGCACTAATTCCATCAGATCAGGGCCCACCCTCATGACCCCACCTTACCTTAATTACTTCCTTACTCCAAGTCCAGCCACCCTGGGCCTTAGGGCTTCAGGAGGTGAATTTGGCGAAGGATACAATTGAGGCCCCAGGAGTCCTTAAATATCCCAGCGTGTCTCTTTTAATAACAAGGACACTTTCTTACAAAACCATAGCACCATTATATTCTTTGAAGAACAAATAAGATTTTTAATGAGATTGACCACCATGCGATTATTAAATGCAGACAATTTACCACTGAAATAATATTATCTAAGGCATGGTTCCTACTAGGATTTTTCCAATTGTCCCCATAACGTTCTTCACAGCATTTTCTTTCAAAATAAGATCAATCGTTGCATTTAGCATCGCGTCTTTTCAAGCTTCCTTTATTCTGGATGGTTCTTCCGTTCTTTCCTTGTCTCCGTGACGCTAGCCTTTTGAAGAGGACGGTTGAGTTTCTCCGCAGGCTGCTCCCTGATTTGTGTCTGTCGCCGTTTCCTTGTGATTGGGTTTTCGCGGGGCTGACACGGAACTGAAGCTGTGTCCTTCCGGGTGCGTGTCATCAGGAGGCACGGGATGTCCCTGGGTCCCAATCTTGGCGATGCTGACTTTGCTTGGTTAGGATGGTGTTCTCTTTTTCCCTTTGGAAGATAATGTCATCTGTAGAAAGATACCTTTGAGACAATGTCAATAACCTGTTCCTTATTAGATTTTCACCCAACAGTTTTCTCATCCACCCATGAGTCTGATACTGGCCTAAATCACCTATTACTCTCATGGCTGCACAATTAGTTTTCTAAGCCTGTCATTCCACCTACCTTCGTTAGCTGGTACTCCACCTCGAGAGCTCTCTCTTCCCCACTATTTATGTATCTCTCCGTCTACTAGTTCATTATCAGTGTGGACTCATGGATTCCTGTTTTGGTCATTGGATTATAATCCATTATGGGCGTTGTACGTCACAATGCTCAAATTCCCAGCCCTGTCCAATGGGAGCCCTTCATGGCTCCTGTCTTCTGATGTGTCCCTAGACTGGGGTTCTTCATGTCTCATATATTAATGATCTTCAGGGAGCATACGAGCTGCTTGAAGTCATATCCAAAAGATTGCACATCTCCGTGCTTTGTTGGGGGGCGGGGGGGTGAAAGTTCAATGGCTTCCATCGGATTCTCAAAAGTACTGTGGTCTCCCAAAAAAGACAGAGATTCTACATCAGAGACTTGGGTGAACCTGTCCATCTTATCCCAGCCACCTCTGAGTCGCAGATGAGGACAAATCCTGCATACGACAGAGGTGGTGGCATGGCTTAATCCTCCCAGTATTCGGGCCTTCCTTCCTCAGCTTCACATAAAACCGACAAGTTGCAGAATGTGGCTCTGTCGGGTCCCAGGGGAGGTTTCCCTCTGGGGGACAAGGAATGTGAGGTCCTGACGGCCCTCACCCCTCTGGGGCCAGCCTGTTTTCAAGGCTTGAGTGTGTCTAGGAAGCGTGCTATGACGTTCAGACACAGCACACGAGGACTTGCAAGGGGACCCTTGGTTCCGGAGCCACCGAGAGGTAGAAACGTCTTCAGCCGTGTGGGCTCTCCTTGCCCATATTGAAGAGCAAGGCCAGGGCCCCCAGTCCTCCGGGTGCTAACGTCCAGAGGACTTCACTGCTACATACGCACCTCCTGCAGAGACCTCTTGTGACACTTGCAGTGGCTGCCGTGTGGCTGCTCTGTTTTTGGGCACATCCTTCTCGCTCAATTCCCACCACAAGCTTGGACGTGGACTAATGTCACCCTCCATCTTACACACAAGGAAACGGGGGCTCAGACAAGCTTTACCCAGGGTCCCGCATCTTATAAGTGACCAGTGCCTTGAGGTCACTCGTGTGGGAGCCTGCTGCTCCCAGGAAGCGGAGACACGTGGACCACGTCCTGGCCCAGAGCCAAGCTCAACGGGTCAGCCAAACCCCGACCAGTCCACAGACCCGCCCCTCAGGACAGAGCCACTGCAGCCAACCAGACACCCGAGCAAGAAAGCGATGCTGATGGGTGTTGTGCCCCTGGGTTTGAGAGGGGTTTGTTACATGGTCCCACTGGGGCGATAGCTGACGGATACAGGGACTGTGCCGGGGAGAAGGAACCTCCTGGTTTCACCCTCACTTCTCAAATCAGTGCAACGACAACACTAGAAATCTATCTTCCTCTTCTTCTGATCGTGTATGTGTTTGTGCCTCTGACCGTGAAACTCCGTGGTGTCTCATACGTGAGCCAGGGGTGGAGGGGAGAGTGTGGGGGAAAGAGCTCAGGGAAAATCGCATCAGTGGAAGAGCATGTGCTCCCTATCAGGGGATCACGTGGATCTGTCCCAGAGCCTGAGGATGGGTTTTCACAGCCACTAGTCGGGGGTCCAGGCAGGGAGGGCACAAATGCGGGGCCCTCGTGAATGCATCCTCTGCGACAGAGCCAGCCCCGAGCCAAGACTTAGAGCTATGACCCCGGTAACAGCTGCAGCCGCAGGAACTCGCCAGCACTGGCAGGCTGAGGCTCTGCTTGGAGGCATGGTAGGAAGGTGCAGACCCATCACAGGATGGCATTGAGACGACAGCAGGATGGAAACTTCTGGATTCCTTCTGCCTCTCCTGCTTCCCGAGGAAAGGAGTCTTCGCACAGGTCTGGACGCGGAGGGAGGAAGCCAGGACCACGGCACCGGGCAGACTCAGCTCCACGCGCTCCAGACTCCTGGAGCTTGGCAAGCCCTCCACGGTCAGCCTGGAGGTTCCCGCTTGCACAATGCGGGTGAGGATGCTGACACCGCTGTCCTGGAGAAGGCGGGTGAGATGGTCCGCGGTGCTTGCTACGTTAGCAAGCCCCTTCTCGTTTTCCAGGAGGGAGGGTGGGTTCCCACAGAATCGGTTTCTAACGACCCTAAGTGCAAGTGGGGGTGGCAGGTGTGGGCCTTCTTGGGGCCGCTATGCCCCCTGGAACCTTCTTCCTCCGTGCACGTGCGCACTGCTTCCTTCCTTCAAAGCATGCGCGGTAATGAGGAGGGGTCGTGGGCTCAGAATGAGGAGTCCCACCCAGGTTGCCCTCATCATGGGGACACCGTGGGGTTGGGCACCCTTGTTGGCCTCCTTGGTCTCCATGTGGCCGTCTTTCAACGGAGGCATCAGCGGGAACCGTCACAAGCGTCCATCTCTGAGCCCCGGGTGGGGTGAATGGTCAGCCCCCAATAAGGGGATCCCGAATCATTTATCCAGCATCACTCTGAGCACCCCCCACACACACATACACCCCACACCCCCTGGCCCTCAGCTACACAGACCCCAGCGATTCAGGACAAGACAGTTCAGGCTGAGTTCACCAACACTCCCCAATCAGGGCCTTCAGAGAAGACTCTTTCCTGAGAAATCCTGCAAAGAGCAGTGGCCGTGGGTTTGGATGAGCGGGGAGCTGGGGCCAAGGGGTGTTCCGGGGAAGCGGGAAGCCCTGGCCTGCAGAGATGGCCCTGAGAGGCAGGGAGCCGTGACCCGGCCTGTCGGAGTCTCCTGAGCGGAGCCCAGCGGGAATTGCCGGCCCATTGTCTGGAGAATTCTTATCAGCAAAGACAGACGGCCCTTTTCACAGACATCTGGCAGCCCTCGTCCCAGTCTGGATCTTGGGTTTCCACTGGGAGGCGGAGGCCAGTGTCGGAAGATGGGGCCACCCCAGAGGGGGCAGGCTCTGTTTACACACAGCGGTGCTGGGCACCAGCTCCCATGGGATCATGTGTCTCTGTGCACAGGTGGCTGAGACGGCCTCCTCTGCTCACTCAGTGCCCTCCTGGCCGCCTCCTTCCCTCCTTTCTTCCCTCCCTCTCTCCTTCCTTCCTTCCTTTCTTCCTTCCTTCCTTCCCCCTTCCCCCCACTCCCTCCCTCCATCCTTCCTTTCTTTTAACAGATGTCTGGGCGCCTTTTCCACCCCAGCCCTGTGCTACACAAAAGGATTGTAACTGTTAATAAGACTCCATTCCAGTCCACAGGTAGTTCATGGGCCAGAGGAAGACTCCGGCAGACAATCGCAATACGCAACAACAGGCCACGACCGGCCGTGGGAGCCCATGGGGGGTCATCTACCCAGGCCGGGGCCAGGGGGTCTTGGAACAGTTGCCTGTGGGGCCCAAATAGGATCCTTGTCCGTCTCTTCTAGCGATAGAAGGAAGCCAGGAATCACTGGGACCCACCCTGGCCTGGTGGCCCCAGGTCTTTGAATGTGCCTAAGACCTCAGGATGGACTGCAGTTACCCTCGTAAATCTCGAAACATCCCAAACGTATCTGACCCCAGAACACCTTTCTTTCTTGGCCAACATTTCATGGGACAGACTTTTGGAAAGAAAAGTCTCCTTTGTTATTTGCTATGAAAATTATCCTCGTGAGGACGAGCTAATGAAACCGGAAAATAACGTTAAATGGGAAAAAGTGAAGCAGGCTCCTGAGGGCAGCGACAGATGGTTGTTGTCTAATTCTGCTCCTTGCCAGCGCCTGGTCAAAGCCGCGGTAAAGGGATTTTAAAGACGTAAATCCACAAGGATGCAGAGGATGAAAAGGCAACCACAGGAACCAATTTAGAAGGTGGACAGAAGATGAGTGAGTGAGAACTCTGACCGAGGACGCTGGGTCCCCTTAGTGGCCGCTGGGAAAGTCGGGGGTGGGGAAAGAGCTTATTCACACAACAGAGTCTTCCAAAAACCATCTCTGGAACTGGGGAAAGAGGTGAAGAAGACTCAGTGAAAGATTTTGAGATGCAGTTGGAGCCCAGACCCGCCTTCCCAAGCCCCACCCCCGGGAGGACACCTCCCCATCTTGGAAGAAGGATAGAAGTTTATTTTCTAGACCTCGTCATACAGAGGGTTTGTGGACTGGGAGATCCCAGCCCAGGTGAAGGCCTGAGTGCCTTTCCCAAACCAGGGTGACAAGTTAAGTGACCCTTTGCATCCTTCCCTCTTCTCTAGCTCAGCCCCCAGAACACCAACAGTCAGACCTTGCCCTCCTCTGAGACCTGATCCAGCCCAAGAGGAAAGGTCTAAGGGTATTGACACCAGGGGATCCTCAAAAAAACAGCCCAGATCCTTCCGCAAAGAAGCCTCTGGTGGTCAAGCTCCACTCCTGAACTTCTAATGAGCTCGATGGCTCCTCACTCTGTCGTGAGCTGACAGCCCGCGGTTACCAGATGCCTGTGAACAGCCTCTAACACGGAAAGTAAAGACCAAAACAACAACAGAAAAATGTAACTTGGAGGAAACAGAGACTGTTCAAGGAAAAGAAAGCTCTGACGACTCTGTCAACAACAGGCAGCTGTGACCCAGACCCTCAGAGATATGATGTCACATCCAAGAACAAGAAGAGGGTGCTATCAAAAAGGAGCATTGGGAAGACAAAGAAGAAAGAGCGCCTAAACTTAAAAGCAAAAACCACAGCCGGGATGATAAAACTCAACAGAAGAGTTAGAAAATCAACTTGAGAAAATATCCCAGAAAGTAAAAGGAAAAGAGAGAGAAGAAGGAAAGGATGATAATAAAGAAGATCCAACATCCAAAAAAAGGGCGCTACAGATGTGTGAGGGAGAAACGAGGGGAGGAAGTCACCGATGAAATAATTCAAGGCCGGTTCCCGGCTGCCAGGCTTGGGTTTCCAGACTGAAGAGGCCCGTGAAATATCCAGCAGAGTAAATAAATAGAGACACACCCCCCACCACCACCATGGCACCTCACTGTGACATTTTAGTACACTCGGGACAAAGAGAAGATTCTACAAGCTTCCAGAGAGGAAAGCTAGGTCACATACAGAGAGTCAGTTCTCAGAGTGGCTTCGTAATTCTCAAGAGCAGAATTGGAAGCAAGAATCCGATGGAACAACACCTCCAAACTTCTAAAGGAAAACTATTTCCTATTAAAAATCCTATGGCCAGCCAAAGGATCAGTCAAGTGTCGAGCGGAGTAGTGGCCATTTCAAACATGCAAGGTCTCAAAAAACAGTAGTCTACCAGTCACACTTTCTCAAGAAGCTACTGAAGGACGTGCTACCCCAAAGCGAGAAAATAAACCAAGGAGGAGGCTGGAGATGCAGGGAGGCGTTCCTCACCACGGGTGAGCGGGGAAGGAAGTCCCCACAAAGGCTATGAAGGGGCATCAACATCAAGGCTTTGAAGGGGCTTCAACTTTGACCTGTTCCTGAGAGGCGGAAGTTGACCATGGTGGGCACAGGAGCAGATGACACAAACCAATCCACTCTGGGTGGCCATCCTTCCATCACCATCCCCAGTTCTCCCAGCTGTAATGAGCCCTGGGCTCCCCAGGACTCACCCACGTCCTTGCCCACTGGCAAGGTCAGAAAGAGTTTTGGCCAACTCGGGGCAGAAGCCAGGCTCTGACCCAGAATTCCCTTCGACTTTCCTTTCCACTTTATATTTCCCTGGGAGTCTTCAACTCTTGGTGACGATATCGCCTTTTCCTTCCCCCATTTGCTTTGTGCTTCCCGCTCCATTTTTGAGAATGAAACAATGGATCATTGAGAGGTTGTGGCAGACGCTGGCCAGATGGTCACCAAACCTTCTTCCTCTGGCTCCTGGACACCCAGCTAGACACACTGTTGGTTTCAAAGTCGTGTCTGCACAGGCACATGGCTGGAGGGGAACATGAAAAAGTCTGGTTGGCTTGTTAGGGGAGGCGGGGTGGGGGTGGTGTTTTTTCCTGTCAGTCTTAGGATAAGGTTCTTTTGCAACAAACATGTAGGGAATGTGGAGCCAGCCTCTCCACATTATATACAGCGTACATAAAAACATCGTCGCACACAGCTCTCCGGACAGATGTTTCTTTGCAAGCAAGAGCTCATTTGTCCTCAAAGCAGTCAGGATCCGGCAACCCGGCTCTCCAAACCCATCCTGCCCTGTTTCCCATCCCACACCGGCCCTCAGCCTGCCTCCCCTGGGAGAGCCCCCTCCCCTCCAAACATCCTCCACTGCCTTCAGGGCTGACTCCAGATGTCGCCAGGCCAGAATTCCTCGCCCCTCTGGTGTCCCCCTGGGGCTTCGGCTCTCTGCAGTGACGGTTGCCCACTCTGCCTCTCAGGGCCCAGGGGACAGCACACCCAGAGGTAAGGGGCTCAGGCCCACCGCAGTCAGACCACCTGTGTCCACAGCCCAGATGCCCACTTGCCAGCTGAGGGGTGGCCCAAGTTGCTTTGAGGCCCCGGGATGATAACAGCGCCTACCGTAGGAGGTTTGTGAAGAGTAAATGAAAGAATGCATGGAATGTTCTTAGGGAGGTGACCGGCCCATGTGGGTTGTTCAATAAGCCTGGGCTCTGAGGTAGAGGTTGCATCTGCGTCCGGCTCTTGCAACGCCCCATTAACCCCTCAAGGGCGGTTCCCACACCCTCCTCACCCGTCAACGACCTAGAGCCTGGCACAGTGCACTGCATGTGGGACAGACCTGTGAGCCTGACCAGCAGCCAAGGAGCCCAGACGAGGCCACATCCACCGACAGAAGCTGCATGGCTATTGGGATGAGAGGCAGGATGTCCTGCCACCCTGGGACAGTCCCCACCATCGGTCCAGCCTTGCCCGGAGAGCTGGACTGGGAGAAGCCGGCCGGCACAAAGACCAGACAAAAACCGAGTCCCAGGGGACGGCTGGGAACTGGGGACATGGAGCCGGAGAAGAGAAGACTCAGGAGAAAGTCGATCAACCCAGGAAGTGGAGATAACCACCTTCTATGCGCCAGCCATTGTTCTCCAAGGAACAGGTCGGGTGAACCCTCTGCCCTGCTGGGCTTGCATCCAGACAATCCAGTAAGGCAAGAGGAGGACCGAAAATGCAATGAGTAACAGTGTAAAGCCACACGGGCTGGTGCTAAGTCCTGTGACGGACAGGTTAGCACGGGGAGGAGGTGCCGAGGCAGGCCAGAGGGTGAGGATGAGGAGCACTTTGGTGCCGGGGAAGGCTTTTCTCAGCATGGGACACTCAGCAGACACTTGTGAAATGAGCAAGCCACCATCTGGGTAGCTCAGTGTTTTGCTCTCAGATCCTATGGCAGGCCCTGCCCATGTGCCACGCCAAGGGAACTACATTTCCCAGAGTGCTTTGCTCTCAGGCTCCTGGGCAGATTCAGCCAATGGGAGGCCCCAGTGGAGAGTGGAGGGCGGGAGGAGAGAGAAGTGGAGGTATTTCCATCCCCTCTTCTGCCTCCGTGATCCCAGCTCGCACCACACGCACCCTGATACGGTTTGGTTTCTACTGGATGGCTAGACTTCTGTACTCTGGTGACATGGCCTCCTCTCTGTGTCCCTCCAGCCCTGGGGACACTGGCTCACTTCTGGAGGTGACCGGAGAGTGTATCCAGCTGAGATGAGGCTGGAAAAACACCATAACGCAAGTGCCCTCAGATGAAGCAAGGTACCATGTCTCCTTGGCTGTTTCTTCTCTTCCCTCCTTCCCGAATTTCGGTGGTTTTTCCCTCATCCCCGTTCTCTTTGGCTCTCTTTGCTCCTCCAAGTGCGAAGCAGCTCGCTGGCTGATCGGAGAAGCTGAAGTTTCTCCATCGGCATTTGCCCGAGGCTGTGCCCCTGAAGTCACTCTTACCAACAGGTCCTTATGCATCTGACATCTTCATTTTCTTCTTTCCCAAATCTGACCCCCTGCTAAAAACAAATAAATAAGTGGTGATGCCACGTGGCTGTGGGGTCAACAGTCTGGCTGGAGGATCCCAGATCTCGGACTTCATCTGCAGTTTGGCTCTTCCTGGTTCTGCTCCACTGGAACATCGGGTCTCCCGGGTCTCCAGCCTGCCAGCCTACCCTGGAAGTTTTGGACATGCCAGCCTCCATAATCATGAGAGCCAGTACCTTAAAATAAATCTCTTTCTCTCTATATATATGCACATCCTACCAGTTCTGTTTTTCTGGAGAACCCTGGCTGACACAGTCACCGTATCTCCCAATGATTTTGGGATGAAGCCTCTTGTGCAAATTCCTTTTACAAATAAGTGCTAGAGAGACATACACTCTCCCTGAGGAGCCGGTATATTCTCCCCAAGGGTCATTCCTTCTTTCCCTGCTCCCTTTGGCCGCCAGGAATTCCCAGCTCGGCCACAGCAACCGTGGAGGCTGGTTATCACGGGCAGTATGTCTGCGTCCGACCCTCAGCTCGGCCAGGACTCATCTTCCCTGTTGCATGTCTGCTCTCCTTTGATCCTGACTTCTCAGTTCCAGGTGTGCGTCACTCTGCTATTGCACGTGCCTCCTGCAGAGTGCTCCGAGCTGAAGATGGACAGCCAGGCCAGGCGCCACACATCTGGAGGGGTTTCTTTCCCTTTCCTCTGGCCCCTGGCCAGTCCGCTGGGCAGGAGTGGGCACGTGCTCAGCAGTGAGCGAGACCACTGTCAGACAGCTGTCCACACCGCCATGGTGAGCACTCACCAGAGAGCTTGGGGAGCCCGGGATGTGGGTGATGACAGCCAGGAAGGATGGCTTCCACGGGCATCTTCAGGAACCTCCCGTTGGCAGTGTTAGGATCATGCGTGTGCCTGCCCATCACCAGGAGCTGGAGCAGCTGGAGACAGCTCACTGGGGACCAGGACCTCAGGCCACCAGGGAAAAGTCTCACTTGCGCCAGCCGGCACCCATTCCAGGAACGAATGAGCCAGCCCACCTCGCCTTGCTTCAAACTCCCGGAAGCACAGGGGCAATTCCAGAACACCCCGCCCCCCGTGCGGATGCCCCACATACACACCAAATAGCAGCCCCCCTGCATGTCCTTCTGCCGAGCCCACCACCCCACCACGCTGCTATCAATTGTGAGAAGAGAGAGTGGGTGGAACAGGGGGGCCATTTCTCTCTGATTTTCCTGCTAATTTCCATCCCTCTGAGGACACGACAAGCGCAGTAAAGGGCAGGCGGGTTTGTTTTCCTGACGAGTAGCAATTGTCCTCAGGACACTGCAAATGGGGCACCGTGTTAGGGCCGAGTCATGGGTCCTGGGCTCAGGAGGCTGGCAGGTGGAGAGGAGGGGCAAGCAAGGGCAGCCGGGGCCCATTTTATGGACGCAGAGGTTGGATGAAGTGGGTTTATGGATGAAGTGTACCAGTTAGGATATGGGCAAAGCTGTGTAACAAAGAGCCCAAGACAGACAATGGGTGGGACGATGCTTTCCTCCATTCACGGCTTTCATCCGAGCTCAGTGGGGTCTCCCTTCACCATCCCTTTCTGATGGGTTAGAAATGAGCCTCAGAGCTTCTCAGTCATTTTCTCATATAAGAACGGATTCATTTTGTAATTAAGACTCATTTTCAGGTGTCAACGAGTCCAGTCAGGTCCACATCAACACTGGATTTTTCACGTCTAACTCAACACTCTTTCTCTCTGTCTCCGTCCAGGTTCAGCCCTGCCCCGTGACTCAGGCAGCGGGAAGGGACCTCAGTCTGTCCCTTTTCTCTCCTCCCCCTGTACCCCCACCCCCGTCTAGGATGTCAGGACGTGGGAGGAGGGATGGGGAAGGGATTGAACATCGCATACCTGGCTGGGGCTGTGATAATCCAGCCCATGTGGCAAGAGCCAGATGCTGGCCCTCCTCTGGGTCACCTTTGTGGGTTCTTTGGGGACCTGAGTGAGCACTGTCCAGCCGGTTTCTTGTGAGCCTCCAGGCCTCCTCAGCTCCTGCCCACAGACTCCGGCTGCCAGGGGTCCTGTCACCCTTAGGGGGCTACACGCTCACAGCTTCTACCCACCACCTTCCTCCATTTCCCTCGGCCCACACGGCAGTCGCTCACCCCTGCCATATCGGTCAGGACACAGGTAAAGCTGCTGTGACAAAGATACAATGGCGCACACAACACAGAAGCTCACCTGTCTCTTTCATGACCGCCTGCAGTTTGCGGGTGGACCAGGGTGGCTGAGGAGCTCCACGCCCTGAGGCTGCGGAAGGAGCTGGTTCCTCCTATCGCGTTGTTCCTCCCCGTCCAAGGGCGTCCGCCTCATCTCCATCGTTCCCACTGGCTGGTGGTCCAGCCCCAGAGAGAGAAGGAGAGAGCGCCGGGAACGGCTGCCTTTTCAAGGCTGTGGCCAGAGGTTGCGCGCGTCCCTTCCTCTCACATCCCATTGACCGCAACTCGATGCCGTGTCCACTCCTACCACAAAGAGAGCTGGGAATGGCCTCTAGCTGGACGGCCCAGTGCTCAGCTGAGCTTCAGGAGATGCTCTTACCAAGAGGACGATGGAGACAATGCCTCGACCCTACAGGGAAATTAGGAGTGCCTAAGGGGGCAGTGCGGGCAGACCCTGCCCTCTCTCTTCATTCTGCCCTGGGCACTCCGGCCAGCCTCAGCACCCCAAATTCACAAGGAGAGGAGCAGGTTATTATGTTCCTGCGTGACCCCCAGGTCCGGGGGATCCCAGCCGAGCTCCCCATTCCTCTCCCGCCCCACCACACTCTGAGCCTGCACAGCCCTGGTCCACGATTCCATGTCACGGTCAGCATCACTCCTTCCTCCCTGCGGGCACCCTAGTCTCTGAGTAGTTTTATTGGGAACCCCCCACCGCCCTTGGCTTGGCCAGGAGAGAGAGAACCACCTGCAACGCCGTGGACCCCCACCCCCCACCATACTGACCACACTCAGGCCCCCATCCATCCAGGCTGGAGGTGGCTGGCGGGGTTGACTGCTGGGGACAGCTCTGCTCTTTCCGTCAGACAGGATCCCGGGGTGTCGCACCTCTCAAAATGCAAGGCTCTCACCACTTGTCCTTCTCAGCTTTGTGGCTCCTTCCACATTCTTGGGACAAGCAGAAAAGTCCCATCTGTGTATCAGCCGACAACACGCACCCCCGGGGAAGCTTCCGGGCCTTCCTGCAGCCTGGCCTTGTGCACAGGCCCTGCTCCAGGGACCTTGCAGAAGATGGGTGACCGGTCCCCGTCTTGCAGATAAGAACTTGGTTCCTGGTGAGGTTAGAATATGTGCCCTGGTCACCGGGGAGAAGGAGAGGATTCGACCCCAGGTGACCGCTGGCTCAGAACGTGTGCCTGGAATGCAGCCTCCCCATGGGCGACGGCACAGAATCCGCACCCCCTTGCATCTTCCCGGCCCCTCCAGCACCACGCACGCCCTGCTGCATCCCCCCAGGACTCCCCTGAACACCCCTCGTGCCTCCCGCCTCTCTCTTTGCCCCGGCCACTGGGCATCTCCAGGAACCCTCTGGCCTGAGGCTTCTGTGGCCCAACTCCTGGGCACCCCGCTGCCCCCTCCCTTTCCTGTGGCTTCTCTGTCTCCTCTGATGACAGGCCCATAATCCCCCATGCTTTGTTCATACTCCGCACACGCTTCCCTGGTGACCATCACCAGGCTCTCCCCTGAACCCCAGGAGGGAGAGAGGCCCAAGTCCTGTCCCTGGGACATCTCTCAGACCCCAGCCCTTCCTCTCACATCGCTTCTCTGCTCCAGGCCCTCTGACCTCTGCCCGGGCTTCTGACCAGCCTCCCCACCCCCAGGACCCCCACCTCATCATTCCATCACCTGCATTGCTCCCAGGGACCATTCTCAATCATTCACAGATCCAGGAGCATCACTCCTTTGAAAGCTCCCTCCTGCCTGTATGCTAAAGTCCAAACTCCTAGGCAACCGTCAGAGCCCTCACAATTTGGACCCAACTTGCCTTGCCGTTGTGCCCCTTCACTCCCTCCTCTATACAGTCAGCACCCAGACCAGTGGATCTCGAACTTTGGGGAGCATAAGACTCACCTGGGGGAGCTTGTCAATCCTATGCCTGAGCCTCACTCTCAGAGATTCAAATCCAGCTGGTGAGGGCTGGGGGCGGGAATCTGCCTGTGTAACGGGGTGATCTGAGAAGCCCTACCGAAGATCCTGAACTCGCTGTGAGCCATCCAGCCTCTGGGCCCTTGTTCATGCTGTTCCGTCTGCTGGGAACACCGTTCCTCCCCCATCTGCCTATCAGAGTTTCCCAAACTCTGTCTTTAGTGGCACCTCCTCCAGGAAGCCTTCCCCAGACCCTGAAAGAGAATTAATGCCTTTCCCCTGTGCGTCTCTCCCTGGCACCCTGCCCCTCTCTTACAGCCCTTAGGATCATCTGCCCAATGTGGGCGTTATTTACACACGATCCATTTTCCCCTCTAAACCGGGAGTCGGTGGAGGCAGAGAACATCTCATCCAGCCATCCCCGACACCCCCCGAGTGTGGAGCCTGCACAGGTGCCAAACGAGGGGTGGGTGTGAGCGAGGGGAAAGACAGCGCCCCCACGGCCTGCCCCGCCCGAGGCCCCCCGACCTTGTTGAGGGCTCCTGGCCCTCCCTGCCACCGCCCCAAACTGCTGGGGATCCCTCCACAGACACATCTGGCTTAAAAAGGAAATGCGCTGTTTCATGACTTAACTCTTTTTATTTTTAGACGCGGTGACTAATCTCCACCGCGGGAGCTCTGCAGGCTGCTCTCCGGGGAGCTCGCCCAGCCGGGCGCCTGTTCTCGAGCCAAGCAAGGGTGGGAGGGTGGCATGGGGGCGATGCCCGGCTGAGAGGGGAGGCAGCCCCTCCCCATCCACCTGTACCTCCAAAATACCTCGTCCCGGGATGCCCAGGACACCCCCACTGAAGGGACCGATGCACGGAGAGTGGCTTCTGCCATGTCCCATTGGGGGGGAATGGAGATGGGGCCCAGGAAGTTATATTTCCAAGTCTCGGCTCCCTGTCCTGCCACCGACACACACAGACTGGCCTCGGAGCGGAGGTGGGGCCGGGTGGCTGCCAGCTGCTCCTGCACCAGCCTGGCTGTGTCCTCCTCACTAACCCTCCTCCGGGAGGACGAGTCAGGTGCAAGTCTGCGGGGCCGGAAGAACAAGCTGCTTCGCAGGCTGCGTGGCCCCTTGGGTGGGCAGTGGGGAGAGTGTTTCTAGCCATGAGACTGGGCAGGGACCGAGGGACCACCCCCCACCCCGCTTTGCCCGGTCCCCCCCACCCCCCGGCTCCAGGTACCCCTTCTCTACTCACCCTGCACAACTCAGAGCGCAAGGAAACCGTCGCTGCCTAAGCCCCTCAGACCCTCATCTCGAGGGGCCTCGCTTGTGACACTTTTCACTTGTTCCCTTATTTCTTTCTTTAAGAATGCATGCTTTTCATAGAAAGAAGAGAAAATCTGTGAAAACCGATATGGAGCAGTAAGAAGAGGATGAGGGACATGCTACCGACTACGGGGAAAGAGAGGACGGTGGGAGAAGACGTTTGTATGTGCTTGAAAGTGCTCAAAATAGCTCCACATGCAGGGCTGGGCTGGTGGCGCAGCAGTTAAGTGCGCATGTTCCACTTCGGCAGCCCGGGGTTCGCCAGTTCAGATCCCGGATGCGGACATGGCACCGCTTGGCACACCATGCTGTGGCAGGCGTCCCACATATAAAGTAGAGGAAGATGGGCACGATGTTAGCTCAGGGCCAGTCTTCCTCAGCAAAAAAAAAAGAGGAGGATTGGTGGCAGTTAGCTCAGGGCTAATCTCCCTCAAAAAAAAAAAAATTTCTCCAGATGAGAGAGGAGAGGCTGGTACCACAGGCTGCACTGGGGCGGGGGGGAGTTTTAGATGACTGCGGGGCCAGACTCACTTTTCACGGGATGCACTTCTGTGGTTTTCAAGGAGGAAGGGGAGGAGAGGAAGGAGAAAAATTCAGGAAGGGTCTGGAAGACCACCCTCCGTTCTGACGCCAGTTGTAAGTTCGGGGGTCCCCCAGTTCACCCCCGGTTTCAATCATTCGTTAGAAGAGCTCGAAACTCACCGAAAGCTGTTAAACTCACATTTACAGTTTATTACAAGGATACAGGTGGAAATCAGCCAAGGGCAGAGACGCACGGGCAGAGTCTGGGGAAGTTCCACGCATGGAGCTCTGGTCATCCTCTCCCAGGGGGTCACGGGCGATGTCAGCTCCTCCTGGCAACACACTAGGAGTATCACCAACCTGGGGGGCCCCCCGAGCCCCGGCAGGTGGAGTTTTCATCAGGCTCCATCTCCTAGACACGGCTGACTGTCCACGTGTCTGGCCATCGGTCCCCAGTGCTTCCCGAGGTAGAGCAGACACCATATGTCCCAAAGCCCCCATCACAAGTCACATCGTTAGACTGTCTGATGTGACCCAAGTTCCCAGGTAAACAAGGACACTTTTATAAGGCAGGACATTCCAGGACCTAGAGATCCCCTCCCAGGAGCCAAGGGCAGAGACAAGAGCTTTCTTAGGGTAGGTTAATTCTCTACGACCCAGGTCGTATAAATAGGATGACCCCCCACCCCAGCTTGCCCAGGACCTGCCTGATTTTAGCACTGAAAATCCTGCGTCCCAGGGAAGAACCCCCCTAGTCCCAAGCAGATCCCTGAGCCCCAAAACAATTAGCCACCCTACATAGAAGCACCCCTTCACCCTTCCCCCAAAACGGGGTGGCTGTGTCCTGTGGGGTTTGGGCTAGGCTGCAGCAACATTTCCCAGAGCACACGGCCCACAGGCAGCTCTGGAGGAGCCGTGAGCATCAGGCTCCGTGGTGGTCCCCGGCTTCTCTGAGCCCCAGGTCATGCAGCTACGTGGCAAAGGCGCCAGCTTCTCCTGCAGGGCATCGGGCATCAAGGTAGGAAGCGAGAGAGACCGACATGGGGGGGTTTGTCCTTGAGGGTCGGGTTTGACCCTCCTCTGCCCCGGCCCCTTCTCCACCAGCTCCCACACGGCCAGGATTTCATGCCCACAATAGAGCTCATCTACAGAACCCAAGGTGATCAGAAAACAGACAAAAGGAAGTAACCCGACCACCCACAGTGGGTAACCACAGGTCCCATTAAATTTGCTCCTAATGGTTCTTTATGTGGCTCTCATAAATGGGGTCTCTGATGCCATCATAGATCGCCGTGTGTGTGGTTTCCACAGATCGATTTGGACCCATCTGCTTCATTGAACTCTATGATCACTTGCAATTGCGTTAAGAGGTTTTCTAACATTCAGCCATCCTTGCATTTCTGGAGCCCACTCCACTTGATCGTCACGTTTTATCCCTCTAACACACCGCTGAGTTTCCTGGTTCCCTATTTTTGCATCAACATTCCTAAGCAACACTGGTATGCCTTTTTCTCTTTCCGAGATACCCTTGGTGGATTTGGGTGTCGATGTTTGCTTGCTACATAAAGGGAACTGGGAATTTCTCTTCTTTTACGTGCTCGAGCAGTTTCAGTAGTGTTTAATCGTCTTGACCTACGTGACGCGGCAGGGGACCTCCTTTGAAACATTCTGGACCTTTATGCCTTCTTTTTTGAAAGGGTAGTATACTTGCACAACTTCCTATTTATCCTAGGGTAATCCATTTGTGTAGATTTTGCATCTCTTTTGGAATAATTTTTTAGAAATTATGTTTTCTATGTTTTCAAATTCTCAAAATCCTTTACAACCACCAGAACCCATTTTCTGAGAATTTGACCTTTCTGTGTCTCCGTAGTTGGTTTCCCCACAGGATTTTAATTTTGTATATGGTTTCTTCTCCTTTTTTCTTGATTGGGATGGTTAATCGTGTCCCTTTTATTGTTAGGGGCTTCTTTTCCCCTCAAAATACCACAGAACTGTACAGTTAAAAATGGTTACGATGGTAAAGTTTGCATCACGTGTACTTGAACCCAGTAAAAAAGGAAAAAGAAGAAGAAAAGGAGTGCAGAAGAAATGTTATTTTTAAAAAAAAAAAAAAAAGAAATCCAGGGCTTTGATGCATTTGTTAATTCTATCTCTTGTTAATACACTAATTTCTTCTCATCTTTATTTCTGCCTTTTGTGTTTCCTAGCTTTGTTCAATTGTTCTTTTTCAAATTTGAACCATACACTTAATTCATCAATTTTCATTCTTTCCTGTTTATTAACATCAGTTTTCAAGGCTATGACTTTTCCTTCAAGAATTGCTTTGGCTGCATCTCCTAGGTTCTGGTGAGCACTTATCTACATTGCCACTTAAGACCCCTCCTCCAGGAAGCCCCTCTCTGTGTTCCTATCACTCCTGGTGCACTCACTCACGACAGCACTTTCACAATATTATGAAGGCCTAGTGCAGTGCTGTGCAACATAGAAATAATGTGAGCCACTTGCGTGCTTTCAAATTTTTTAGTAGCAACATTAAAACACTTTAAAAGAAACAGGTGAAATTCATTTTAATATCTTATTTAACCCAATGTCTCCAAAATGTTGTCATTTCAATGCACGATCAATATAAAACCATTATTAACGAGATTTTGCATTATTTTCCTGTACCTAGGCTTCAAAATCTGGCATGTATTTTACACTTACAGCATATCTCAATTTGCACTGATCGCTTTTTTAGTGCTTAATAGCCATGCGTGCCTAGTGCAGGTCTAAGATTTGTTTCCAGGTCTCTCTGCCTGCTTCTTACCTCCCAGACAGCAAGCCGCCTGAGGGCAGGCACTTTGTTATTCCACAGTGTATCCATGGTGCCTCCCCCGTTGTGAGTGCTCAGGGATGCTGGCTGAGTTAATGACTCCATCTGCCCCTCCGCTCATCCGTCTGCTGCCCAACGTCTTATTCACTTCTCCAGCAGCTATGCATCGTCCACCTCCCACGAGCTACAGTCTGTGCCTGTCATCACACTGCGAGTCAAGGAGCGTCTCCATGCATCCCTAAGAAGGAACGTGTCTGTTTCAGCCTTCGACTTCCCCCTGGGAACAAGGAGCCCCAAGAAGCTATGGGCAGCTCCACGCTCCAACTCCAGGCTGGAGCTGCCAAGGACAGCTGAGCACAGCTGCTCTTCCTCAGGGGCAGATGAGGGCAAAGCTAGCACACAAGGGTGCCATAAAATACACCCAAATACCCCCAAATAGTGTCCAAGATAAATATCACAATTACAAGGAATGGCCAAGAGGCCAGTGGCAGGGACCACCAGTTGCCTACCCAACATCCATTTTGCCTTCCTTTATGATAGAAACCTGACATTATTTAGGGTGGCAACAAGCCCAGCTAATGCCCTTTCGCAGCCCCCTCTGCATCTAAGGATACCATGTGACATAGTTCTGGTTTATGTGATGTGAAACTAAGGAAGCTTTGCTTCCTTGATATATCACCCATTCCTTTCTCTTCCCACCTGGAACTCACTCAAGATGTTTGGAGTCGCAGCAACCTTATTGTAGCCATGAATACAAAAGTTACACACATGCTGTGGATGGCAGAGCAGAAACATAGAAGAGTCTAAGTCCTTACTAATATCATGGAGCTGCCATACCACAGCCTGGAAATGCCAAAGGCCAGACTTCTTTCTACATTAAAAATGAAAAAAATAAAAGCCTCTTTCGTTTTAGTCACTATTTATCTACTTGCCTGTTACTTGCAGCTGACTGCAATTGCTGCCCAACACAGAGCCAGGGCACGTCCTCTCGTTCGCTGAGCTGCCACGGCTGGAGTGCCTGTTCTGAGCCAGGCACTGTGCCATGAGGCTGTAGCTGTTTGACACAGGGATGCAGAGGGCCTGTGCTTGTCACCTGTCAGAATTTTGTCAGTTGCAAGTAACAGAAAACACTGTAAACTGACTTAAGAAAAAAAAGAGCGACAGCCTCAGGATTCTGGCTCGCTGGACCCAATGGTGAACCCGGCCACTGGGACATGCAGGCGACACGCAGGTTAGACGGTCAGCGACTGGCGAGACCAGCATGTCATGTGAACTTGTGACTTTTCCCTCCACTGGGGAGGCCCGATTTGCCCAGGATAGAGGCATTTCCCAGGCTGTGGGACTTTCGGTTTTAAGAGCAGGGCGGTCCCAGGAAAGCCAGAATGGTCAGCCGCCCTCCCTCCATCGGTACCGGCTCATGACAACGAACACACTTCCTCTTCCTGAGAGAGATCAACGAAACCACGTGCGATCACTTTAAAGAAAATTGGACAACGTTGTCCTTAAAGAGCAATGAGGACACCCCCTCCTCGAACCCTACGATCAGATACGCCCTCAGCCACCTTGTAGCCAATTGTCCTTGACACGGGGGGGACACGATTTCTGCTGGGCCACTGGCTAGGACAACCACCCAGAGGACAGCCACCCACAAGCCCTGGATGAATCGACCAGTGCATGGTAACCCCACCCCTGTGCGGACTCTCCAGACTCATCGAAAAGAAGGGACCCTCATCGGGGCCGGCTCTGTGGCCTAGTGGTTAAGTTCGATGTGTTCTGCTTCAGCAGCCCAGGTTCGGTTCCCGGACGCAGACCTACACCACTTGTCAGCAGCCATGCACATAAAATAGAGGAAGATTGGCACAGACGTTAGTTCAGGGCGAATCTTCCTCAAGCGAAAAGAGGAAGATTGACAACAGATGTTAGGTTAGGTTAGGGCTAATCTTCCTCAGCAAAAAAAAAAAAGAAGAAGAAGAAGAGGAAGAAGTGACCCTCATCTAGAGCATCTTCAAATCGTCTCTCAGACACCCCTACCATTGAAACTCTAGCTGGTTGGTCAGTGTCACCCTGAGAAGGTCACTTTTCGGCTGGCCGGCTCCCCAGTCCCTGTACTCCTCTTGAGCACAGCCAGGAGCAAAACAAGGTCTTCTTGACACAGGTGAGTGGATCAGGTCTCTCAGAAACATCAGTAACCGCGTCCCCGGCTCACCCCTGTGGTCCTTTCTGCCTGGACCCTGCCAGGTGGGCAACTCCCAGCTAAGGGTCCCCAAGAGTCCATTCGCCCAGATCGGTGACTCCAGGCCCCCAACAGCCACCTAAGACTCTGCGCAGACGGACACCCCCAAGTCCTTTTGGAATTCACAGTGTCACCAGGCCCCAGCCTGCCAGGAACGTCTGGTCTCGGCCGATGCTTCTCGATCTGGCGTGGAGCTTGGCCACTGGCATTTGCTAAAATCTCCCAGGTGATTCAAAGCTGCCACCACGTTGAGAACCAGCGAGTGGCCACATGCTGCTCCAGAAGTCGAGTGTGTACACAGCTGATGTGACCGGGGGTGGGCTGCAGGGGGACGCTGGATTCTCGGGCTCTAGTCAAGTCTTCCTGCCTGCCTGCCCGGCTTCTCAGACGTGACTCGGCCGCACACTTAAAGACATACAGAGGAGCAGAGGCCGCTGAGTCCAGAGGCTTCTCCCCTACATTGTCCTCCATGTGTCCAGCAGTTTGCAGACTGTGGGGGCTTGCCCACTCCCCCCGCCCCCAGTCTGCCCCCTCCTGGTAACCTTCTGAGGGAGGGAGGCAGGATTTATTGCACCCAATTTACAGATGGGCAAAGAGAGTTTGCCCGTGGTCAACCAGAGCGACGGGAACTGGGGTGTCACAGGTCTGCCTTGAGATGCCCTGGGGGTCTGCTCTGGGAAAACCAGGGCAGCTGTCTGCACTGACTCTTATCCTTGCAGGAGGCAGGAGGAGGCTGGGGGGGGGGGTGGCTTTTGGTGGCAGGGCTGGCTCGTGATGCAGCCACATCGGTCCTTATGGCCCCCCAACCCAACCCCTCCGGCTCACCCCCACCTCTTCCTGGAAACATATTTATAAAGAATTGGAAGCAGAGACGGTCTTAAAGTAAGACCCACCCCCAGGATTACTCACTCCAACAGGGGACCCCAGAACCTGGTGGACAGACAGGCAGTGGCCACTCGGTCCCCCGACGTGGGATGTGGGTGTGACCAGGATGGCCCTGGTCAGCCTGAGTGGGGCGTGGTCCATCTCTGGCCTCCCTGAGCCTCTGTCCCCCTGCACTGACCGCCAGGTCGAGCTCCGGGGGTGGGACACAGAGGTCATCTGCCTGCCTGCTCACTCCCCAAGCCCACCCTCAGCCTCAGGACAGGACATCTGTGGGACAGACCCCTTCTAGAGGGGAAGGTCATTGGGTGCCTGCTGTGCAGAGGCTGCCGGCCAGCCAAGGCTCTATTCCTCCTTGGGTTTGCGAGGCTGCTGCCGGGCCAGCCTGTAGTCGATGTAGGTCCCGAGGCAGGACCAGAGAAGGAAGCGCGTTAGCAGGATGACAACCAGCAGGACCACGAGCGGGTCGGGGCCCGTGCTCCCCCACAACCAGGAGGCCATGCTGAAGGGGGCCGACCCCACAGAGCCACCACAGCCCCGGGCCCAGTTCTGCTGAGTGCCTGCTGTGCGTGTGGCCAAGGGCCCCAGTCGGGCGGGGAGCTCGGTGCAGCCGGGGGTCTAAGGGACGGCCCCCGTCCCTCCGCAGCCCCGAGCAGGCGGCGCTCCAGCCCAGGGGGTGGCCTTCGAGAGGACAGATCGGCCGGCTAGCGGCCTCCTTGGTCAAGAGGCCCATGCGCCATTCATCCAGAATGAGCCACTCGCGGCGACAATGGGCGCATTGTCGGGAGGCTGGGGGCGCCCCTCCCCACCCGCCCGCGGTGACGTAACCGGCAACCGGCGCTGGCAGCTGCGGGCCGAAGCGGCCACCTCGCGCTCCCCGCGCCCACGCCCGCGCTTCCGGCCGCAGACAATCGGGCTCTTTCTCCGCCCAATTAGCTCGGCCGGCCGGCCGGCCAGCGGGCTTTGCAGCAGCGGCAGCCGGCGGGCGGGGCGGGGAGGGCCGGCCGGGGAGCCGTGCAGAAGAAAAGGCGGGCGGGGAAGACAGCACAGTCAGCTCGGAGCCCCGAGGCCACCCCAGACGGCCCTATTAGCGCAGGGGCCGCGCCAGCATCTCAGAGGCCCACTGCCGCCTGCCACAGCGCGGGGGGCAGCGCGGGCTGCGACGGGTCTGCCCAGAAAGGGGCCGGGCGGGGAAGCTGCATAATCACCAAGGAAGGGGCTGGGGCCCCCAGCACCCCCTCCCAGCTCGCCCCACCACCAGCCAAGCAACAGGCCATGGCCCCGAGCTAGACAGGACAGGACAGTCCTGTTGGAGTCCCCTCACATCCCTCACAGGGATGCTGGGCCTCAAGCCAGGTCCCACGGTGGACTCCCTGAGTGACCTTGAGCGCACTGCTCAACCGCTCCGGGACACAGGCTCCTTATCAGAACGTGAGACGAGTGAAGACAGCTGCTTTGAAGGCCCTGGGGAGGACGAAGGGAGAGCGTTTATACGGGACCGGCGTGGCACCAGGCATGGACCGCCCCCACCACCATCCTCTCGTCTCCAGGCCACTTCTGCCACAACACCACCAGCCCAGCCTTCTCTGCCTGCCCCCACACACTGCGTGCACACATGTATACGCACATACACACATGCACGCACACGTACACATGCACTCATTGCGACGCACCCGCACACTCACCAGGCCACACACACCTCTACAGATTCCACTCACCTCCCGAGTTCATCTCTGACTTTTCACAGCCCAGTTTTCCGTGGGTCAGGGGACAGCCTGGGCCTCTCAAGGGCCCAAGCTGGAGCTCAGAGGGCCCCGCAGGAGGAGCGAGGTCTCCGGGCGCCGGGTCTTGGGAATCCAACCACGTTCTCCCCAGGAAATGGTTCCCACAGTCCCTGAGCCAGAGAGAAAGTTTAGGGGTCTCCCAGCTGCGGGGCCCCTGAAGCCAGTGCCTGAATTTCTTCTCTGTCCACAAAATGAGAATGTGCTCCCAGCCAGCCTTTCTGGAAGCTTCTGTCTAAGGCGTCAATGCAAAGGCTTTGACAGGCAGCACACCTTAAGACTGGTGGTGGAGCGGGATGACGGTGCTCACCTGTGGTTTTCGCGACAATAATCCCAGAGAACGTGTGTTGGGCATCATGGGGAGCCAGACCCACGCCAGGCTCCCCACCTGCACCCCTCCCTCGGCCCCTCACCCCCGGAAGCTCAGACGTCACCCTGACTGACAGAGGCCCTCAGAAGTGTGCCGTGTCCCCCTTTAATCTCTGGGTGGAAAATGCCTTTTGCTGCCTCCGTCCACCGAGAGGGCCGCCAGCCTGGGGACCCGGCCAAGGGACCCAGCATACCTGCAAATACGCAAAGATGTGGCTGCTTGATAAGAGCTTCCAGAAAGTTGCAGAAAGTCTTTGGTGGTGGCCCCGAGTCGCCTTCCTGGAGAAAACCATCTGCCCACGGAGGGAAGGTCCCCGGAGGAGAGCAGCCCGAACCCGGGAAGGACAAAGAGGCTGACTCCTCGTGGGCGTTTCGTTTCCCCGAGAGGCCGGCGTCTCCGGGTGGGAGTACCCCGGGGGAGCCGGAGGCACCGGGCACACACTGGGCATAGCCCAGTCCTCAGCCTCCCACCGCACAGCTCTCGACCCGGCAGGTGGGAACAAGGTGGCCTCGGATAAACCTGTTTGCCAAGCACACAATCGGACACGCAAAGTCAACAACGCTGGTCACGTGGCGTCCACGCACGGAGACTCTTTGAGGTCGCAGAGCCCCCCCCCCCACCGCTTCCCGCTCAGACGGCCCCAGGCCCCAGAGGTCGGAGAAGACAAGGTCAGCGTGCCCTTGAGATGAGGGAGCGAACGGCCCGCTCCCCTGCACAGGGTGGCGGCTGCTCCCAGGGGTGACATCTCCTGAGAAAGGGCCACTGATGCAGGTGCAGGCACCTTAGATGGACAACGTGGCTATCACCCCCAGGAAGAAATAATTAGGTGACAATAAAAACGTATGAGGTAGGCCAGCACTTTGCAGGCATTGCTCACTCAGAGAGGAAACACTCAAGTCAGCCCACTGCTGGCAGTGATGTGAGTCTGGGGGCATGGTCAGGGCTCCGTCCCCACCTTTGGGACCATTTCACCCATCTCTGCGCTCCCCACCTCTGGCTTCAACGCCCCTTTGTTCCAACACGACTCCTCCAGGGGATGTTGTCACTGCAGTAGCTCCCCCCGCACCAGGGGCATCCATCCTCCAGGCAGCCCTTCGCCGAGGGCTGACCGTAGGGCGATAAAAGCCAGTCCCCCTGCCACACGGCCCGGGACAAGCTTGAAGGGCAAACCAAGCCCCAGAGCTCCCCTTCAAGATCGCGGTGATCTTGGGGCTGTGCCTGAAGGCGCCTCTCCTTGGCTTTTTTCCTCCTCCCTCCTGCCCTCCCCATGCCTCGCTCCTGTTCCTCCCGGGCACGCCACCTTGTAAAGACCCACCTGGGGGGGCCGGCCTTGTGGCACAGCGGTTAAGTTCTCCTGTTCCGCTCCTCTGTGGCCCAGAGTTCACTGGTTCGGATCCCGGGTGCGGACATGGCACCGCTTGGCAAGCCATGCTGTGGTAGGCGTCCCACATATAAAGTAGAGGAAGATGGGCACGGATGTGAGCTCAGGGCCAGTCTTCCTCAGCAAAAAGAGGAGTATTGGCAGTAGTTAGCTCAGGGCTAATCTTCCTCACAAAAAGACGTGCCTGAGAAGGCAGGATGGACATGGACGGGTGTCCTGTCCAGGGGAGCTGGAATTTTCCAGGACTCAGAACGGAGCAGGGGGAGGCGCCAGCCCTGGATCAATGAGCCGGACTGGGGACCCGGCTGATCTTTAGGGGTGCAAAGAGCCCACATGCAAATGTCCAAACGTTGAAGCAGCAACTGGCAGGTCCTGCCTCATTGTCCCCTCAGGGCCCAGCAGAAGAACCCTTCCCACAGCTGAGGCTCCTGAGGAGGCCCGGGGGTGGAGGCACAACCTGGGTGCCAGCCGGGACCAGCTCTCTCTGGGGCCGAGGGCACCAGAACGTGCCCCATGGGCCCCATTCGAGTTACTTGCCCTGCCCAAGCTGGGTCGCCATCACAGTGTCCTTGCAGTGCTCTGGGCCTCAACTTCCTCATCCAGAAAAGGGGACCACAGCCCCTCCTCCAAGTTCTGCAAGCGAGGCCGGGCATCAGAACGCTTTGCAGGGGAAAAAGCAGCGCTCAGCGCCCTAAGGACCCAGCAGGCTTCAGGACTCGCACGCAGGACCGGGGAGCGAAGCTGAGGCCTCGCACCAAGCACTGCCTGGCGCGTCCCCCTGGGTGTGGGTGGCTTGGCTGGGTTTGCAGTTTACTTCCATCACAGCACTGACATCCTCTGAAATCGTTCATATGTGTCTAGACTGTGAGCTCTCACCCAGTCCCCCGGGGCTTGGCACAGTTCCTGGCACCCCGCAGGCCCTCAGTAGGAACGGGTGGCGTGGATGGCGTCAAGAGGCCAATAAAGGAGGCCCATGTCTCCATTAGACCAAATTCAGCCAAAATTATAAAATCACCAGCTACAACGGTGCAAAGAGTGAGATTCTCAGAAGTGCCGGAGTCTTATCGAAAACCATCACTTTTTTATTTTTGCACAAGCAAGACACGTTTGCTATTACAAAAAAAAAAAAAAAGGCCAATATTGCAGAAATGTGTGAGTTAGGAGAGAGTGCATGTCAACTCGTGTTTCCACCAAGACGGAGCACAGGATGCTGGAAAAATAGGACCGACGGCACCCTGGGGGCAAGCACCCTGGGAAGGCCCGTGGCCGATTACCTCTCACTCTGAGAATATCGCATCTCCAAACCCAGCTGGCGCCCGCCGCCGCCGGCGGAGTCAACAGAAGAGCATTTCAAACCGGGCTTCCACCGAAATGCGCCCTCCTCACAGACGGGCGAAAATTAATTTTCTTTCTTCCTGCACCACAAAAGCAGATTAAAATCCCAAACCGGGGGACGAGTGGGAAGAAGTGGAAAGCTTCCTCATTGAGGGGGCACCACTGTGCAGTCCCGGGTTCTCTCCCAAACAAGGGATGGCCCCAGCCGTTGGAAACGTGCCCCCCACCCCCCGCCCCGGCAAACATAAAGCCAGGCCAGGGAGAATGCACTTGAGAAAAATTACACTGCTGTCATTCCAGCCGTTGAAAGCTGGTATGTAACTTTGCACGGGGTGATCAAACAGCTAGTCAAGGATGCTGTCAGGAGCAGAATGAAATTCCAAATAAATTAGCCATGTCGGAGAAGCCAATACAACACCGGATTAAGGCTCACAAAGAAAACACAATTTATTCAGCCTACCTTGTCAGAATTCTTAATAACCCCGCTCCGTGTTTCTCACCTCGGCTGGGAGTTGAGTCTCCAGACGAGACGACGCAAGTGAGCCCCCACTCGGAACGTGGAGCTCCGGATACGTGCACACACCATGCGTGCTCACGGGCTAGGGTAGCGTCCCGTGTTTATATAAAATGATGCTTTTATGAACGTTTCAGCAGAAACCAGCGTGCCACACAGAGGAGGCAAGCTGTCGCCGAGCCCGGGAAGCACATGCGGCCGGCTCCCGGCTGAATGACAGAGTTCATACATTAGAATACGGGACTTGGGGGCCAAAGAGAGGAATATTAATCATGGTGGCTTAACTCTTTTGGGCTTTGGGGAAGAGAAGCATCTTGCCCGCTGGCCTCGTAAATGACGTGTGTTCTGGCGGCGGGTGTCTGTCCCAGAACATCATTTCATCTTTTTAAGGCAACAGGGTGTGAAAGAGAATTGTCGCCCTTTGCAAGTCCTAACTGTCTGTCCTCTGATACAACTCATTAGTACATTCAAGGGCCCTAAAAACAATATCCTTTTTTATCAATGACCCCAGACGGCTTTCACACGCCGACAAACGCTCTTTGAAATAGTTAACAGGCAGAGGCTTCGCGGGGGAGGCACCTTTGAAGGCCCGGGGATGGCTCTGCTTTTGCTTTGCCGAAGGACCTCAGTGAGAGCCTGGGGCCCTTTCTGGTTCACAGAGGGGTGGGGGAGAGACAGACGGAGGGGGAATTTGCTTTGCAACATGAAGGCTCTTGCGAGAGATAAAACCAGCAGGAATGTTGAGAGGAACTGGAAGAAAGTGATCCGGCCGTTAGTCTGAGACGGAATGTCAAGATACTTGAGAAATACACAAAATAAAGATTTTCCCAGAAATGAAAAAAGAGAGCGATGACCTAATGGTATTAAATTTTTGTTGAAAGATAAAAGAAATGTGCTGAGTAGATGGGGGCGGGGGGGGAATCTCAACTCTTTCCCAAGTGTGGCCCGGCCCAGATTCTCTATCTCAATTTCTAGATAAACAAGGAAGGCAAGCGATGGGGTGGGGATCCAGGAGACACTGTGGGGCCCACCGGACACACACAAAGTGGGTTTTTGGAAGAAAGTAGGAGTGTCCCTCGGAACGGGCCTTGTGCTGGGGAGCGACAGACGTGAGGACTTGGTGACACTCGCAAGCTCACAAAGTTGGACCGAGCCACAAGAAAGTGCCCCCTTGTCACCATATGTGTGTCACAGGAAGACTAGCCTGTCCCCTCAGAAGCATCATACTCTCTCATCCACCCTGAGGGACTTCTGTTCATGTGCCTCCTGGAGTCTCCATTGTCACCGGTTGGTCACACGGTTCAGTTGGGACAGGAGGCTGCTCAGGCTAGCTCAGGCATGTCCCCTGGCTGTGGGCTAGCTCAGGCATGTCCCCTTGTTGTGGGCTAGCCCAGGCCTATCACCAGGGTATGGGCTAGCTCAGGCACATCCCCAGCTATGGGCTAGCCCAGGCATATCATCAGGGTAAGGGCTAGCCCAGGCATATCATCAAGCTAAGGGCTAGCTCAGGCATATCATCAGGCTATGGGCTAGCTCAGGCATACCATCAGGCTATGGGCTATCTCACAGAAGATGAACTGGAGTCCCACCAGGAAGCACAGAAGCCAGGTCGCCCCTCTCTCTCTGAAGCCACACAACCTCTAAGATGCGGCATCTCTCTGCCCAGCCTCTTCCACCTTCCAGCTCTTTCTCCCTGCTCACTGGCTTCCTCTGCTTTGCTTAAGTCTCGCCCCATGATGGCAGGGGGACAGAGTAAGAGGTATGGTACATGGCCAGAGGGGTTCCAGGAGAAGACGGAATAGGGCAAAGATATCTCTGAAGGGAAAACAGCTGAGAAGTGTTCAGAGCTGATGAAAGACATCAGCCCGCAGATTCAGGCATCCCAAAGACTCCAACGTAGGACACGTGAATTAAAATGCACCTGGAATTTGTTTTAATCAGGTACGTGAAGATGACCGACACAGAGACTGCTGCCTTGAAAGAAGAAGTTATTACGTAGTGTTCTCAAAGAGGAGGGGAGGGGAATGCATCGCTCCATGCAGGGCCACGTGGAGCAGCACGAGGGGAAAGCACGGTGGAGAGCCTTCGTTACTATAGTGATGGGAAGTTGTCAAAGGGGATGTCCCCTATTGGGCAGGAAGCAAAACACAGATGCTGGGGTTTGTGGAGGGTTTGTAATATGACCTTCACACACCTGTGGAAACACAGGGAGGATACAGATGTAAACAACTTTGGCCATTAGTTAACTCACGATTTCAAGAATCCAGAACATCCAAAATGATTATTACAGAAGTGAACATCTTAGAAGCA